GAGAAGGAAAAGAGGGTAATAAGCATATCTTCAAAAAATGACCTTAATGAAAATTTGTTCCTGTACTGTGCCATTGTTTCAGCATACTGCTAATGTATACAACTGCTTTAGTTCTGGTTTACAGGCTGCTGCAGTCTCCCACTCTTCCTTCGGTAGAATCAATAAGCATCTGAAAATACATAATGAAAGTAATTTAACATACTGAAGGCTTCTTGTCTCCAGAGACAGCACTGAGATTCAAGCTTTCTAAAAAAGAAAAGCAGTGCTTCTGAGAGGAAAGCTTGCAATGGGCAGCTTTTGCAGAATGACAGCCTACCTTGTCGCTTCTCCTCACTGCAGAGAGATGCAGTGCATTCACTAATTTTGATTGGTCAGTGATCTTGGGCTTAAATTGTGCTTCATATATGGGATTGATGCCCTCCCTCCCCCCAATTTATATAAGGATTCTTTTATAAAAGGACTAAATTTACAAATGATTTATGAATTCTGGAATATGTTAAGGGTATGCCAGTTTTATTTTTACCTTTTCACTCTCTACTTTGTGTACACTGGAAACCACATGACATGAAAAAAAAAAAAGGGGATTAAACGTTTATTACTTAAAAAGCTTCCAACTATCTATATTTGAATGTGCCCACTTTCCATTTGTGGTGTTTTTTTTCTTTTTTTGGTCCTAAGAACATCTCTGCAAATAAAACTGCCTCTTTGAGCCATGCTGAATTTCATCTTATATGTTTATATGCAAGCGAACATTTAGGTCTTGTCTTGAATAAATGATATTCAGGACAATTTGGTACCTGCATGTATGTTAGGAAAATTTCTATTAGGATTCACAGAGATTATTCAAACTCTTAAAATGGGTTGAAAGTCAGTTTAGTTCATGAATCAGAAAAGAATGATCTCTATGATCTAGCATCATGTTCAATGTATGTATAATAGCGTAGGTTGTTAATTTGTTGAAATGTTAATTTCTAAAAAAAAATCTTGTATGTTCCACATGAGTTTTGCTAGAGACTTCACAGATTTTTTGTGAGGATGTCTTGCTTGATGTTCTTGATCTTCACTTTGCAGGGGGTGTCTTCATTTTCACTTCTTTGTTTTTAACTTATTTCTGAATCTCTTCTGTCAGTATAAACAATGCTCACAAGCATGTAGTAAGGCGTAAGAGAAGTGTAGCACAATATCTGTTTTAATTAGTACTAATGCCAACATAAACCTTGAAAATAAATTCCGTATAGAACCGAAAATAATATTTTTTTAAAAATTGGTTTGCTGAAGCAAGTAATTTGAGAATATCTGAGTACCAAATGTTCTGCTGGTAGTTTTTAACCTCAAGTGTGGGGTGTGGAGCTTTTTCTGTGGGTGTTTTTGTTTGATTGTTTTTTTGTTTTTGTTTTTTTTAAGATTTTAATCCTTTTTTTTTTAATTTTATAAAGTACTGCATGTTAAAGCATGGTTCTTACATAAGCAGCTGTGTTAAGATGGCAGTTTTGGTCAAATTTTGATGGGGTCCTCTGTTTTTAAGTTGTTAATTCAATTATAAAGTGCAATCATGTAATTCAGATGTCTTCATTTATTCTCTTTTTCTCTGAAATAGGCACCTGATACATTATTTATCTTTAGGTAACAGCATACTTTATTCATTTTTTAAAACAGGTACATATCTGTCTAGTGTACTTCCTGTTCTGTACTTCTACATTGAGAAAATACCTAATTAAAGATTGCAGAAACTTTGAACAAGGATCAGTAGGTACCAGCTGGCTATGCTGAGTAGCAACTGATTGAGTTCTTTGAGCTGTCCCTGTATCATCTGTCTCCCAAGAGCTTGAGACCAGTGCTACCAGCATAGCTGAAGGATTCCTGAAATGAAAGCACAAATACTAATATATTAAAGAGATTTACTTCCTTCACTTTCAGTATGACTTAGGATAAGTAGGGAAGCCTGTCTAAATTTAAACAGATGAATCTCTGTCTCCCTTTCTAATTCTTCTGTGTGTGCCTGAACAAAGATGGAGATACTGGATGACCTGTACAGTTAGAAAGAAAAACACGTATACACAGAGGGTGACTGGAATGGGATTTTTAATAAGTGATTCAGACACAGGAAAAGGGGTCATGAAAGACTACCTGTGTTACAGGAGGTGATAATGGCAGAAGTTCTATCTGCAAGAAGTGTTTGAGAAGAATGATAAGGAGCTGAGTTGTGAATATATCAAGCTTAAGATTTCTGGAGAGAAAATCAGGAGAAGCAGCAGTACCATATGGAGGGAATCAGGAGTAGGTGGATGGATAGACACGCTTACAAGCCATTGCTGTGCAGATGCTAGTTAAGATGGTGTGAACAGATGACATCATCCTCAAAGGGTAGATAGGGAAGAGTGGGCAAAAAAAGCCATGTGCAGACACCCAGCATAAACAGAAAAATGTGCTGTTCTTATACCTGTTTCTATATCAGTACAGAATGGAAGAGAAAGAATTTGACTGGTATTTTGGAGTGAAAAGTGGGGTGGAAGGGTAATGAGAGGGTAGAAATATCAGGGAACAGCAAGAGTCTTAAACTTGGAGATTGATGATGAAGGGTTTTAAGACTGAGAATGGCAACGCAAGGGGAGAGGAAGACTCAATGTGACAGAGAAGAGAGCTGTGAAGGGTTGAGCCTGCTGGGTCTGGTTTAGGGAGAAAATAAATGCAGAGCTTGAAGCAGAGTGCAACAGAAGGGAGTAGAGGCATGTGCATGTAAAGAGGTGCTGGGTGCACAGGGGTAGAGATAACTGCAATTGCCATAGCATACACCCCGGTAGCACATGTAAGCTGAATTTAG